CTCGAGTAAAGAATGTGTGTACTTTTGCAACCTCTGGTGTCTGCCATGTTGACCCACCATGTTTCTACACAAGCCCAGAACGAACAAACCAAACATTGGCTCTAGATAGGGCCTTTAGCATTTCCACAGTCACCGTAATTACTCCTATATGCTTGGAACAGGAGGGTGAGGTGAGGGGGTTGTAATCTGCAACTACACCACTAAATATCACTAAATCTTACTCACTGGTCCTAAAAATGTATGAACCAGCATTTAGATGTGACATTTTCTGTATTGAAATCCAGGGAAATAATAGCAGCATTAACTGTTTTTAATAGAAGTGAGCACAGTGTAGCAGTGAACTCTGACCTTGTCTCAAATGGAAAAAGTATCAGTGATGTGGTGGAGCAGCACTGATTTTGTACTACATAACAAAGTCTGAATGACTGAGGGTCACAGACTGTCACTGATTCCACATTCAGAAATCTATTCTTTATCATATGATGAAGTGATTTTATCTGATTTTACTGAGGCAGCTGATCATCAGTATGGCAAAGAATGAGCCAGTAAATAAATTCATTATTCATGTTTCAAGGACAGCAATCTGTGGTGGAGATGGAGAGATGTGCATGACATGTCAGCTTCTTACACATTCTGCAGTCATGAGGTAAAGCTATCAAGTGGAAACACTGACATTGTACTACTGTGGACGGCTGCAGCAGTTAAGTTTCCTCGTGGTGATGATGCTCTGGTCACGTATCACCCCCACGCATCATGCATGTGAGGATCCACACGTACGCCTAGAACTGGATTGTGAAAGGGGTTATGTAAGCCCTCGGCTATGTTTTACAGGCAACAAGCACATCCCTTGTCATTTATAATGGAGATAATAAATACACAAGCAGATCTTAAACCAGCGGCCTGTTCATTGTGCATAAATGCATTTACTGTACCATGGTATGTTTTAAGATGTGTGCTTCTAGACAGCTGCCCAAAGCAGTCTGTCCAAAATACAAGTTTAACTGAACTGAACTTGAACTCAAAACTGTTTTACTTCCAAAACGACATATATGACTGCATGTCTGTAATTATGGGCATTGGGAGTAGGGGGTGAGAGGGCTGCAGTACCCCCTAAAATGAAAACCATTAGTTCATAAAAAAATGTAAACGTAATGACTTTCTTCTTTTTTACTGGAATTTACCACATATAAATCCCAGTAAAAAATGAGATCGATGTTTATGGCAGCATAAGGTTTTTCTATTCGTTTTTTAATCCTCCCTATTGTTTTGGATGGGATGATATGAAACATGGACTTGGGCTTCACTTCTTCACTGTTACTGGACTACATTTGAAAATGTGCAATTAGACCAGTTTAAATTTGATACTAAACTCGAGCCTTCAACCTCAGTAGAGCGATCTGGCAGGATTTTTCAACATGAACTAACTGCCTGTAAGACAACGCTGAGGGTTTACGGACACGCTCTACTTCAGCATCACTGCTCAAACCGTCAGAGCCTACGACACTACCTCAACATTCGCCTATTGGATAAAGCCCTGCGCCAGTCCTGTTGAGAGCTGGACTCTGGTTGGACAATGCTCGATGTGGCCACGCCCCTCTGCTGTATCGTCTGTACCTCTCTCCCTCTGCATCTCTCCCATTTTACAACAGCAGCTTCCTGCATCTGCCTGCTTCCTACTGTCACTTCACGTAGCAACAACCTGGTGAGTTTGATTTCCTCCATGAAATCATTTCAAACTTTAGCAGAGAATATTCAGTTCGTATAGCGTTTATTAGCCTAGCTTGTTCACGCTCTTTTTATTGCATTTTTATTTTTATTTTTATTTTTACAAGCACTTTGTTACATAGCTGTTATTATTAGGCTGTAGTATTACAAATATAACGT